TCAGAGAAAATGGAGTGTTGCTTATAAAGCAATTGGAAGGGTTTTTCAGCCTGAGGATAAACTTTCAGGAGCCACAGTTTTATAAAGTCAGCCTGCAGTCTCCAACTGCAGCGACTCTAGCCCCAGAAGCTTTACACAAGTTGCAGATTTTGTTTTCAAGGCTGAGAGATTTCCTGGGGGATCACTTGTTGTCTTTGGAGGAAAAGTTGCAAAGCTCAGCAAAACGAGCCAGCATGCCTTGTGCTGCCATTTTGATCTCCGGGCCCTTGTGTGATTTCTGCCAAGAGAAAAAAAGGAAACAATTGTGTCAGTTCTGTTCGTCTTGAAGCAGGGTTCAAGTCACCCTGCCTTTTGTCAGAGTCCCAAGAAGTATCATTAGGAGTAAAATAGACCACTTGCGGCCTGCTGGAAGATGGAGAACCCAACACAAAGATTTTGTCTTTCAGCCTGGAACATCATGCTCTGCAGACAAAGAGAGTTTATGACTCTATCTTGCCTCTTAACAGGAGGTGACATGACCTGTCCTGGGAGACTTCAAACTGTGGTGGCACTGGGAGGCTTGTGGCCTCCCCTCCCCACCCTACAGAGTCCAAGGCTCCTGAGCCTACAGCTCTTCCCTCACCACTGCTCTCTGCTGATGCCCAGCTCCCTCTGCCAGGGCCAGCAGCCCTCTAGCATGTACATGGAGGGAGGACACCAGGAAACTCATCTTCTTCCAGAGAGGAGACTTCAGGCAACAGGAGGAGGTAAAGGCAGGCCTGGTTCCTCAGAGCAATGTGACTGATGGGCCAAAGATGGTGTTCTGCAAGCCAAGGAAGCTGTGGCAGCTGCAAATAATTTTTGTGTCATTTGGTGTGATGCATATTCCAGATTGGGATATCAATTCATTGTCCCTCTCTAGTTGTGTTGGTTTCGTGGCAAAAAAGTGGCTCCTCATATAGTCCACATTTTCCAATGCAGAGTTATGTTACTCTTCAATTTCCCTGATTAGATGTACATTATGGTATCTTACCAAAGACTACACATTTTCCCTCATTTTTAATTGGAGAATTCAAGTTTTCTAAGTGTCATACATTGTTCTTATCTTAACTTCATCTCACTATTTTGAGGCTCTTTCTGTGATTTAGCAGTGGTAAACCTTTGTTCAAATCTTTGCCTCCAAGGTATGATACAGCTTGACTTGGTGTTATTTGCAGAAGTTTGAAGTCAAAGGTCAACTCGTCATCATTCAAGTTGCTAATGAAAGTAAACAACCCTAGCAGACAGATCAGATCTCTTTGTATGATGTACCTTCCCACTGATGGGAAAATATCCACTGCACCAGTTTGGGAATTGCTTTTTAATCACACACTCTTCTCATGTTAATACCATCTGAGGCAAATTTGCCTTTATGAGAGTGGTGTTTGAGACAATGTCAAAAGCCCTACGGAGTCAAAACATATTTCACCTATTCCTTTCAGCACTTAATAATCAGCTATCTCAAGAAAGAAATAAATTAGGTTTGTTTGACATGATTTGTTCTGGACAAATGCAGAGTGCCTGCTGCTCATCACTTTACTGTTATTTAGTTGCTCACACACTGATTGCCAAACAGCTCGTTTCATTACTTTTCCAGATAACAAATGGAGGCTGGCTGACATACAACACTTCACTCAGACCCCTTGATAAAGATGAGTAGCCCATTTTCCCTTTTCATTACACCTGGATTTTGCTCTTGAAGGGCAGCATGTACTTTGGAAGAAAGAACCAATCCCTCTAAGAGGCAGCATTCTCATCCAGATACACCATGGGGCTGAGGCAGTGGAAGTGAACTTTTCTTGTGTATGCCAAAGTTCTCTGGTGTCAGGATCCAGCAAGGGGCAGATGCTCCCTATGGGACAGGAATCCAAGTGCCACAACACAGAGAGGGGAGAGAGGGGCAGAGCAGGGAGCTAACCAGCCAGGGCTCCATCCCTGAGCAAAACAAGCAGGACAGGCCTGGGTATGGAATCAACAGAGTCCAGACTGGTGGACAAGTCAATAGCAATGGGACAGGTCTGAGGTCAATGCAGTTAGTGACTCAGGTCTGGTGATGGCAGTCAGGGACAGACACAGTCCCATCAGCAGCAGGCACATCCCCAGCAGACCTGAGGACTGGCCAGGAACGGGGACAGCAGGGACAAAGGGATACAGACAGGGGTGCCACACAGCTGTAGCTCCGGCAGAGTCAAGGACCACAGCCTCACCTGAAATGCAGCTGCCTTGTGAGGGGGAAAAGAGCCCTCACTGAAGCCTCCCCACAGCCCTGATGCCAAAGTCACTGGAGGGAAGAGGGGCAGCTCTCAACTGGGCTGTTTCTAGGCTGCCTATGAGCTCAGGGTGCCAAATCTCCAAAAAAGGGGATGATGATCTTGGGGCCCTTGTCTCTGGCTGTGAGGAAGGCATGTATCTCGTAAAAGGACCTATTTTCCAGTATAAATAAAGCCTAGGGTTGTGAGTGTCTCAAGGGAAGAAGGAACTGTGCTGGATGAGAGGCTCACAACAGTGTGGTTTTGAGTTTTTTGTTGGTTTTTTTTTTCCCTCAATAGTGCAAAAGCAGAAAATCTCATTGCTGTTGGGAACAAAATAACAAAAAAAACCCCACCCCCAAACCAGTAAAGAAACTACATTTCCCCTGGTAACCATGGCTGCAAAAATATCCAGGATAGAGTATATTACAAAGGAATTCCCTAAATCATACTAACTAAGAAAGGGAAATAGCAAAAATGTATAACAAACCAAATTGTTTGGAAACCTGATGATTTAAAATTACTGTTTGCATATGTAGTCTCTGTCTTATGTAAGCTCCTCTGCAAGTTAGATGCTGTAGATGCTCAGCTAGCTTCTGCAGAGATAATGCCACATTTTCAGACTCTGCTGAAAATGTAGTGTGAAGAATAATGAGAAGTGAAATGTAGACAGGCTTTAAAGATATCTCATAGAACATGCTCCAACCTTTCTTATACGTGGGCAAAGTGTCTGAGAATACGCTGCTTGAATGAGAGTTGTCTCTGGCTTGTATCATATTTGCTTGTATTAGGTATTCAACTTTTGTATTTGATTGTAATTAATAATAGCAGAGAGGTTAAAGAGGTTTCAAAATAGATGATGTGATGATGTAATTACGCCTTTATTGCTTTTTTTATTCAGTAGGCCTTGTTCTTCAAGACAATTTAAAGCCATGTGAAGAGAGAAATCCAAATGTGCCCTTGATTTATGCTTTTGGCTTCCAAATTTTCAGACCAACACAGATTAATGAATTGCTTCACATGGATTTCTCTTCCCACAGGCTGTACTCTGATCACTTGCAGGTGCATGTGGTACCTATGTTGAGTTCTAGATGGAAACTGAAGGTTTCGAGGTGCAACCTCCACATTTGTCACACTTCATAATAGGCAATTGCTGAAAGTATTTCTCAAATGCTTTTTATTCCCCTTGTGATTTCCACCTTCTTTTTGTATCACATGCAATACCATTCTTTCCCTCAATACACTAACCACTACTATCTGCCCCTTCACATGAATCTTTTTACAGTGATGCTGGTAAAGGCAGAATTGCAATGATGGGCACCCTAAGCACCAGAAAATCTTGGTGAAATGGCAAAAGTTTTGAATGAAAAGCTGATAAACCTTATGCCTTCACTTTCCAGCTCCCACAAACAAAATACTATGTTCATACTGTAATACAAAATGTTAAGTGTAGCCTTTTGGAGTAATTACATCATATCTTCACCTGTGTGGAGGGAAGTGGAGGATCTGTGGCACATTCTGGGGTAAATCTGTAGGGAATATGTTGCACCCATCTGTAAGCTCAATGACTCATTTCAGAACCACCAGTTGCTTTACAGAAACCACAAATTCCTTGTGGCTACCGAGGTACACCCTTCCTCAGTGGCACAGCTAATGAAATCTGTTTGTTAAATTTAAACAAGGGCCATTCTTTAATTTTGTATCACCTTAATTTCACGGCTCGTGTGACATTCTGCTCTGAACCACCTGTCACAGCATCTGAAATACATTTTCACACGGGGAAAATTCCAAGGCTTCCTCAGAGGGACACTGAGAGATATCTTTGGAGGGTATTTGCAGCGAGGAGAGACAATCAGAGAAGTGAAGGAGTAGAAAAATTAAGGCGAGGGGAGATGGAAGGCGAGTGACAACGCCAGGAGCAGCTCCCGCCGAGTGGGCTGGAGCGGCCAAGGCTCCACTTAAGGGAGGCGGCGGGGGCGGGGGTGTCCCCT